TTATGGCATCAAATACAATAATTCAAGGCATGGATGTTGAAGATGTTGCAAATGTGATCAATTACAATGTTTTTGTCTATGTCAGGATGATTTTATTATTGATTACAAATATTGAACAATATTGTGTTGGAATAAAGAAGTGAAAGTAGCATGAATTAACACAATTTGATTAATTTATATGTACATAAGTAAACATCATATATGCTAACATAAGCACATAAATATAAATCAAATTATATTAGCTTGCTAAAGTAGTACTTTAATTTCAACTTTTATTAAAATTAATTGACTTTTTATTTATCATTAATTCAAATTTTATTCAAATGAGGTTGCAACATTTATGTTATAAATCCAAATTAATTACCAATGCAACATAAAAAGATTTTAAAGCATAAACACCTCAAGTAGGGCAATTATAGATATTATATCCAATACCTTTGTAATTTTTGCTACAGCACACATTTGCACTTGCGCCTTCAACTTATTCAAATTTCAAATTTCAAAAAAAAATAAAAATAAATGTTGTGCACAATGTCGATTTGATATATTTATTGCATCACATAGATGGTCTTTTGAACAACTTACTTTTGAGTTCTTTAAGTCTATGATCATTGTTATCATCTAAAAGCTATTTATATATCTTTTGATTTTGGTAGAATATAATTGACTTAAATATTTGACCAACTACTTCAAAAATAGAGTCTAATTTGATGGAAGCATCAAATCCTCTTAAGAAGCACTCAACCATTAAAAGTTGTAAATTCACCAAGTGGTATTGATTATGAAAATCATTAATTGTGAAGACTTCACGATTGTGCAATATCTTCATAATTTGATGTTGAAAAGAGAATCTCATTAAAATTATAGTGCAATTGAGCATGGACTATTATTCATCTCTAGTAGAATTATAGCAAATTGAAACTATTCAAATATAAGATTGAAAGCATGCATCAACACCTTCTTAAGAACATCCCTTAAAACAATTGATGTTGTAGTTGAAATATACATGCATATGCTTAGAAATTTTTTGTGCCTTAATTGCTTTCATTATTTTCTTGAAAAAGTGAAATGAGAATTTTTTTTATATCTTAAAGATCTTTGGTAGAGACTTTGATGTATAACTTGATGGCAAAATGTTGACCTTTTAAATGCAATATAGTCACATAGCGAAGATAGAGAATACCATTTGTGTAATATTTTTCAAATTATTCCTTATAAAAAATCTATGTTATTGAAAGATATACAAGAACTTCATTGATAAAAGTAGAAGTAAATTTGATGTTGTTGTGTTACGTGTTGTCTTGTTTGGAAATGCACCGAGCATTTGGTTGTGGAAGATGAAGTTATATTTTATAAATATTCAAGAAATCCTAATAGGCTTCAGTTATATAAGAAGAATTCAAATAGCTTTAAATACTTTTGAATAATCTTCTTAATAAATTTTGAATTCAAAAGTGTTTAAAGCTAATACAAAGTGCTCAAAAATAATCTTCTTAATAACTTCAACTATATACAAACTCCAATTGCCTTATTACTTTCATAATTAGGCAATTTCAATTTCTCTTTGCAAGCTCTAACCCTAATCAATATATTTTAGCAAGATATAATTGCTAATTTGACTATCTACTTGGTGCAAAATTTTTCATACAAATTCCACTATTAATCTTCTACATGCTCAAAAATAATTTAGGCCAATTTAATTTATAAATTATAAAAAAATATCCAAAAAATTGCATTGATATCACTCAAGTGCCAACTCAAAAGTTGATATAGATGTTCTAATAGTGATTTTTCTTTCTCCAACTATTAACTTGAATTCAAAATTAGTATATAGCTTGATCTTCAAGTCTTTTAATGCCATGCCAAATTTTACATTGTTTTGACTAGTAGTTCTTTAAGTATCATAGAAATCCTATGCAATTTCAAAGTATCAACTTCTGATATCTTCTTATACCAAAAATCAGATATCTCTCAACTGTATTATTAGATTAATAAAAAAAATTACATATATTTAAGATACTCAATCAACTAAAAACTATTAAATTTTGAACTATAGATGTGAGACCAATTGCACAAATGATTTGAGAGTGCTAGCCCTAATTGTATTGTATAAATCCAAAATCACCAATACAAACCTTGATTTTGAACAACAATTGTAAAGACATTCCAAATTCTATGAAAACAAACCTTGTGCTTCTAAAATGAGCTTAAAGCTAGCTCTTCTATTCTAATAGCCAATATCCAAATGCCTCCATACTTTGTCCTAGGTGGTTGTTTTAGTAGCTTGAAGTTTGATTTTGATCCTATCCCGCAAATGATCAACTCTTGAGTATAAATTCAGCCTACCTTAAGGATTTTTTAGCCCAAAATTACCATCAATTTAATCTTAGTACCAACTATACTAATTATTTACCTCTTTCATCTTGTTTTTATTAATTTATGGTTTTTTTAAAGTAATGAAAGAATTTCTATACCCTAGAAGGTGAATTTACTAATCAATCTTTAATTTTTTAGCTATTAAGACAAAAAAATAAACTAAGAGGCTTATATAAAAGCCATATTTAAATATCTTGAATTGTTATTGAATCAAAATAGTTAGATATTAATTAAAATTTTATTTTTGATTATATTTTCATCAAATAGTCGTGTTACAACACAACAATGTACAAGTTCATCTATTGCATATCAAAAACCTTCTGTGGAGAAGAATTTATCATCTTGGTCTATTTTACAAGAAAGTCAAATCAACCACTATCTACTTCAAATGGGAAATATTTCTTATAATTGACCAATACAATTTTTTTGAATTTTCCAAATACAAAGAAAAATCAAAAATATAAAAAAGAATAGCTTGAATGGTATTTATTAGTGCCAAGTCTTTATTATCACTAATAGTGATAGGTCACAATATTTTGTACAATTGAATAGTTGCATCAATGTCCAACAAAAACAATAGTTAGATTTCTTCTTGGAGAAATGCCACCATGATTGTGGAAGATGTATTGAAACTTATGGCACTTATACCAAGTAGCACATTCATTCTAAAACTGTTTGTTTTGTATGTGCAATCCATAAATATATTCTATGAATATCTTTTTGTAAGTTATACACATCTATGTTGGACAAAAAAAAATAGTAATATTATTTGTCTTATTATATTTGTATACATACTACTATAGAGTGCTTCAAAGTTTTTCTATTAAAGTAGAAATAGCCTTACAATCATAAAAAATAAAATAAAATAAAATAAAATAAAAACCTTATAAAGACATTGACATTTATTGTAGATATTGCACGCAATCACATAAGTTATAAAATCTATTTGGTGCAATGCAATAATAATATTCTTTGGAGCTATCTCTATAACAAGCATGTCAATAGTTGGTGACTTTTGTTTAGGTTAGAAGCAACAAGTAATGGCATATCCTACCAAAAACACAAAAGAACCATGATTATGACTTCTATTTAGAATCAACAAGTACTAGCATTTATTAATATGCAAACAAGATGCATGTAACTCAAATAGACAACAAATTAGTCATAAAATTGAGATGTAGTGACAAATTAAGTAAGTATCATGCCTACTAAAAGAACAATCTTTATGACATTTAAAGATGATGTTACTCATACTAGAGCAAAAATAACAAACAACAAACCTTAGATGTGCACAAATCTATCTAAGTTTCTCTTCATATCTTTCAATGTGTCAAATAATCCCTCTTGTGGAGGTTCCATATTGAGTAGGTCTTTCATTTCAAAATAGAATAATTCCAAAGTAGCCACTTATTCTTCTCTCATTTCCTAGATAATAGGTAGTGTGGCAAAGAATTGTAAAATTAATATTTTATTTAAGCATATATTTATATATCCTATTATATTATTTGAAATAAAAAATTATATAATTTAGTTTTTTTAATTATTATTAAAAAAAATTAAGTTGATAATTATTTTATTTTTATTCTTAAAATAAATGTAAAGAAAATGTACAAATTTTGTAATACTTTTTATATTTACAATGTGTAAATTCAAAATTTAATAATTAAAAACTACACGTATAAAGTACTTTTAAATAAATTAATATTAATAATAAGAACATCTTAAAAAAATATATTTTTTTGATTCTATTTAGAGATCCTACTTTTAAAATATATTCAATTAATAATTTAATCAATAAAATAATATATGTTTGAGATTATTCATAATTCTTGCTTATATTTATATTTATAACTCTTGCTTATATTTATATTTATAGGAATACAAATATTTACTTTTAGTATCAACCTTAGATGTTATGTCTCTCTCAACCTTTCTTATAAGTTAAGATACTTAAATAAAAAAGAAATTAATTAATAATTTTGAATGAATTTATAGAAGAAATAGATGAATGAAAATAGCAATAATGTTTGGATGGATGTACATAGATAGAAACCATTATCTTTAATATTGAAAACATATGTTTATATAGTTTTATTGAAACGTGTTTCCAATTGTTGTGTATGATTTCGTATGTATAAATATAATATATGACATGACTTAAGAAAATGGTTATATTTTTGTTGATGCCTTTGTGTGCATGGATAACTTTCTCTTGGGTTATATTCCTTTCAATGCAAATCAAGCCAAAGCAACGATTTAGCCTCTTCTAATTTCATTGTGAAGAGGATTTAGCATGTACTTGATTATATTGTACACATTACATATGTATATGAACACAAATGTGCCCAATTCTTTTCAAACCATTGCAAAGCCCTAGCCCAAATTACCCTATTTACCAAGAAAGAGCAGTGAAATCAAAGAGGAACAAGCCAGCAGGCTGGAACCAGGGAAGAGGATGCAGCACCATCTGCCAACATCACAAATTCAACCAGCGTGCGGACGAAGAAGTTGATAGCATGGTCACCTATTTATCCATATCCGGTGGAATACGATCCCTCGATGTTCGTCACGAGGTCCCCAGCTCCTCCAGGACCAGGAATCAAACCCTAGCGTAGCCCGTCTTTTCCTACCTGCTCAGCCCACGCGACGTACCGCCCAGGCTCTCATTGCAACCCACTGGTCAGTCGCTGCGTCCTTTTATGGTAATCGTGCATTCACCTTCTTGTTTCTCTTTGAGCCCCTCGGCTACAGCCGTCGCCATCTCCTGGCCATAGCCATTTCCCGGCTGTAATTACGATACTTCTTCGCTCTCTTCTTCCTCTCTATCTCACTCGAGGGGGAGCTATTTTCCCCTTAGTTATAGCGTTGCAATTCTTTCCATCATTCCTTTACCTTCCAGTCGTGTCTTACAGATTAATTTATTTTTGATTTCTGCCGAGACTGGGGTGCCGGCTCTGTATTCTTTGTCTGACAGAGTTGGGGTTTTGTAAGCATTGCAAGCTATGCGGCGGTTCATTTCGTAGTTTTAGGTTTTTGGAGGTATATGGGAATAGTTGGAAATTTGAGCGGGATATGAGCTTTCGGGATGCCAATGAGCGAACCCTGAACTTATAGCATAAGCAGAGTCGCTGTTCTTCGTCGAGTCGATAGGACGTTTTTGTTGATGGTATGTTTGGACGAGGTTATTCTATGACGTTTCTGTAGTGCCGATTTTCAGGATGCTTGAAGCGCTGCCGTGTTGTTGGAATGTTTCTCAAGGGTTTGAGTGGTAATGCTTCCACGGGGCCATTTGATATTTTTTACTTGATCGAGCAGTTGTTTCTTGCGCATTCGAGGTGTAATATGTGGTCATAGATTTCAATCGTGCCCATTCATTTGAAGCGGCTGATTGTTAGGGCTCCCTTTGTAATAGATGGTGCTGTATACGGGGATTTTGTTTTCATCTACGGAAGGATAGAATATGCGGCCGCTTGCGATGTTGTGGACCACAGCCTTATAGATCTCCTTAGCGGTAACGTGACGGAAGGGATTTCAAGCATGTCGTTACTCGCCATGGATACGTCTAGTTTGTTCGATCCCTTTGAATTTCCTCCTGAGATAGACCTGGTGCCTCCGAAGCCGGAGCCAAGGTTCAGAGAAAAATTGGAGATCAAGACTCCGAGGCATCAAGATCATCATCTGAAGGTATGTTGTACTTGTTTTCCTGACCGTTTCTTCTGGGCTGTTCGACGTTTACACCCCCCCCCCTTTTCAACAACTAGTTATTAGGAAGTAAAAATTTGTGCAGGGGCTGTATAAGATTACGTGAAACATCACACTTGCTCAATTTTTTCGTGGAGCGATCATAAGTGAACTTCACATTGGAAGGGCAATCGTCCGGGTCATTTGTGTTCAGAATTTTGATCTTGCGTCAACGAGAGTCTTTTTATTTCAATTTTTAGTTTTTGAATATTCGTGTTCGTTGATTTTTCAAAGGACTCAAATGGCATATCTAATGCATTTAAGTAAAATACTTTCACATGCACATTAATTTTGCCTTCTTTGACCTTGGTTATCGAGTAGCTTCGAAATAGGTCTAGAGTCGTAATGAGTTCAGTTTGACAAATCTTTCCGTGAGTAATGTATGTCGTTACGTGTTATAAGAGGCAATGTCTATGTGCAGGTACCACCGCACGAACTTATGGAAGGATGTTTTTTATGTGCATTGAATAGACTGCTGACTTTGTGTACCTCTTTTGACACGTCTTAACCTACAGTATTTTTCTAGTCATTTAAACGCAAGAATGATGATTTATGTGTTGGAAGTTAAGACGTGTCTGCTATGTTGTAGGCAATGATGGTTGCAAGAGAGTTCGAATGCAAAAGCCGAGAATTTTTGGATATGAAGCCTCGTTTGCACGATGTGCAGCCCAAGGTTAGTAAAGCGTTATGGATGTTGAATCTTTTAGTCATAAACACATTATCTTGCGTGCTTACTTTGTTGTATTTGTGAAGTGAATCATATTTCATGTTACTTGTTTCACGTTTTCTTCTTTTTGATCTTGTATCTGCGTATTTGCAGTTGTAGGGCATTTCTCACTCGCTACCGTGATACTCATTACCTGTCCTACTTCAGATGCAGATGATCGAGACACCGTCTTCTACGACTGCTCCAGCCCCTTCGGATTTGCAAAGTGCGCGTCAAAAGTTGCGTGATGCCTTGACTTCTGCCTTGGAGATGGTCGTCAGCAAACAGTTAGTGAAGAGTGTCTTGGGTGTGGGTGTGGATGCGCAAGTGGAATCTGGAGATGAGCAGAAGTTGTCCACATTGGAAGGTTATCAACTGGCTAGTTTGTCACAGGTCAGACATTTTCACTTTTGTTTAAATGTGAAAAATCATTTTGTTTTGTAGTGTAAAGTATCAACAATGATGCTTTGGACGTCCTAAGTGCGTCCAATGGATTAATCTACACGTGAGGATGACTCAGCTGGGCCTGGTGTGATGTAACTCTTCTTGCCACGGACTTGCTCCACATTTGCATCCTTAGCTTTAATATGCGGCGTGCTCTTGTTCGTATTTTTGAGTCCACTTTGACACTTTCTTACATTCCAGGTTTTTGTGTGGATCTGTTACAGGAAATTGGGAGTCCAGCTAAGAGTGGTCAGGTTGTTGACTCGCTTGTTGTCGATTTAGGCCCTTTAGAAACTGAATCTACGAGTATAGATTCAATTGAAGTGTCAGCTTCGGAATTTGTCACCAGTGGAGGTGACTACAAATTGAATTTTGACCATGTAAGTTTCGGCTATGGAGAAGATCTTGAAGAGTCGCCTCTTAAGAAGTTGAAGACAGACTTTGGCCAGTTTGAGTTTGGTCACAGAAAGTTAGAAATTGAGGAGAAGGAGGGCAGAGTAGCAGTAGAGGATGTAAAAGGAGGTCTTCATATTATGGACCAAGCAAGAAAACTTGCTACTGATATTGAAGCTGAGTTATTTAAGCTTTATGGGTCGAAGAAGACGTACAACCAAAAAGCTCGTTCTCTTCTGTTTAATCTGAAAGACAAAAGTAATCCCGAGCTCCGGGCAAGAGTGTTTTCCGGGGAAATTCCTCCTGCAGACTTATGTCGTATGAGTGGTGAACAGCTGGCGTCTAAGGAGCTTTCAGACTGGCGGAATGCCAAAGAACAAGCCCTTGATAAAATGCTTGTCCTCACTGATGCTGGAAAGGTTGTCAAAAAGACGCACAAGGGGGAGTTTGTTGTGGATGTCGAGAATGAGAGTACTGTGGACATTATCCCTACTTTTACTCGATCAGTATTTCCCGTTAGCAAAGTAGAGGAGAAGGCTGAGCAGGATGTCTCTGCACAAACGGAAGGTCATGTCCAGCATTCACAAAACAAGTCCAAGTATGGCATGTCACCTTCACTCAAACGAAATAGGTCAGAGGAGATTGACCGTGTAGCAGTGGATGAAAAACATACACTGGATGAGAAAAATGTCAGCGATATGGCACAGCGTGTGTTGGTCGCAACAGAGACAGTCTTGCCAACCATATTGTCACTCGATGAGTATATGGAAGCTCAAGACGGGGAAGGGGTACAGGAGGATGTGTTTGAAGATGCACCCATTGAACCAAGGGATATCTCGAAACCTAATCGCGTGGCGGAATTGGCGGAAGAAATGGGGGTCCGTGATAGTATTGATCCATCGAGTGCTAATCCTGAAGTCACTGAAGATCGTAGTCCAGCTTTGAAAATTGTCAGGACTCAGGACGTGAGTCCAAGAATGAAATCTATGAGCATCCGGGATGGGAGTCCAGGTCGGAAATCTAGTGAGGCAGCGGAGGGCCTCGTCAAGGAACAGAGCGATACTGTTAAGAACGACGAAGCTACAATGGCCTGGACGGGTCAGATTCAATTAAGCAGTAGTCGTCAGTCTCCATTGGCTATCAAGCACCGAAGGTACGTGTTTCCTTAGCAGTGTTGCTTTGTTCGTCTTCTGAAATTGAGCAACCCAGATTTTTAACTAGCTTGAAGACCTGGTTGTAAGTAGTCTCACTGTTTCATTTATTTATGGCTTTCCTTTATACGATTATTAGCATTTATACATTCTTCCCTGGTATTTTGATGCATTGATGTCAAACGATTAGTCAAGTTACCAGTTAAAAACTTGTTGAATTTCAAATTTTTTAAAGGAACATTCTTAGATTTGAAGTTAGAATGAAAACACTTGTAGCACTTTAAGCGTATTTTAATACCTGACTCTGATCTGTGATACAGTGGGGAGAAAGTAGATTTGAAGAGTTGGCCGAAATCACTTGAGTTAAAGGGAAGGGTGAGATTAGCGCATTTGGACAAATTTCTTCAGGAATTGCAGCAGTCCCGGTCACGCGCAGTCACGGTACAGCCTCAAGCTTTTATGACGTTCTTAATTTTGAAACCCTTATGCTGGACAATTGGGACAAGTTTTAAGCTATGCTTTTGTACTCGATTTTTTTCTAAATACCAGATCTTTGTGCTACTTTTATTGTTGATTTTTTTTAATGCACGTCATGCAATATGTTTGATTTGATCACGTTCGTCTATTTTTGTTACCTGCATAATGACTGTTAGAAGTTTTGTTCATCTGTGAAATTGTTTTGTGCTAATCTTTGTGTTAGAAGCTATGTAACTGCTTCTTATCTGAACAATTGGTCTTGCTACTTCGCTAAAACTCGTGTCTCTAACCTGGTTATCTCCAAGCTCTCTTCGTTAAAGAGGAGGATGGTTGTTATGCAGTAGATTTGCTTGGGATGCGAGTTTCGTTGCAATTCACAGAACTTTCTATGTATCTTACCTGCTTTGCGACAAAAGCTAAACTTGCTGTGAATGGTAATCAGTGTGATGGTGCGGTCTTTGTTCGTCTGATCTACTCTCGAGTCTCGCAACTTTCCTTGTCTACCGGTTACATTTTGTTTTAGGCACCTTTTCCTTACACTTTAGTAAGTTTCGGCGATGACATTTACTCAGTATGATAGGTTGTGAACGAGCTGTTATCTATATCTGCAACTTCAAGCACGAAGGTAATACTTAGGCTCATGTGCATACATTGATAACTGCCAGGCAGTCCTCAACGAGCCTGGCACAATAATCAATCAGTTGAACATTTAAGTATTTACTGTTGTCCTGGACTCTAGTTGCTCTTGAACTTTTAGCTTTTGTGAACGTATGTTGCAAATATGTTCAGGAGAAAGAGATTGGGCATACAGAAGGTGCGGTATATGTAAATGCAACGGCTGATGATTTTTTGAATTCTTGGATAAGCCAAGACCCTGCTCCTCCTTGTATATGGATCACTCTCAAGATTAGAATCGAGGATGGGGTCCACATTGCAGAGAAGGCCCGATATTGACGAAATTGTTTTCTAATGAAGGAAACCGAACCCAGTTGTAAGCAGTAAATATTAGTTCTGTATGTGTATCGCATCGACCAATAGTTACAAATTGGGCAATAGATCACCATTCGTGGACTCTGTTTGTGACCGGTACGCAGATCGGACGCATGCAATAAGTCCAACGTTCTTCACTCATTGTGGTGCACTTTTCACATACGATGTCTACTACGAAAATTAGGTAGTCATTGCAGTGACGATTGCATTTGCTGAGAATGCAACCATAGTTATTTTGCAAATTATGCAGTTCTTTGGTAGGCTGGGATTGTTGTCCCCTGGTCCTGGTCATGTTGAATTCTTCCACTAGAGCTTCACAATAGTCGTTAACTCTCGACAAACGCTGCTGTGGAATCTCCCCTCGCAAAATGTTGTTTTGTCAGATACCTGCTTTGTTTTACCAGATACAGTCTCTACAAGTTATTTTTTTGGACCAAACGACACATCCCAGCTGATTCTGTCTACAGTATAGTCGTTAACCTGTAGCGACTACAGGGAGTTTCCAAAGGCATCATGTTGGAGTCGGCTATTAATTGGAAAATTTTAGCAGTATTTGTGCTATTGGTAATGAGCTGTAGATCAAGGCCTTTCGTTTGGCATTACTTGACATCATGTGTTCGTACTCGTATCTCTTGCTCTGTGTCTCTTTCATCTTCGCTATACTTCAAGCACATATCTTCACTTATTCAAGATGTTGTCATGTCTCGTGAGGGTTTAACGCTGGTTGGTCTCGTTTCTGATTGTTCTTTTGTTTCGGGTTGTGTAGTGTGGTTTGAGTGCTTACGGTGAAACTTGTGACAATGAACTATATTCTGAATTTGATTTGTGGTTAAGAAGATGCGTGTGACTAATTTGTGTGGTTGTTTTTATCCTTGCAGGTGACCTCTGTTATTGTGCAAGACGGGCATTCAGATCAGGCAGGCGCTACTGATCATGTTCAGGAGGTCTGTCATATACTCCTAGTGATTATCGTACTCTTCTTGTTTTCGATGCTCTTGGTAACGTATGCACCTGGTTCATAAGGAATCACTGGTTTACTTCGGAGTGAGTAGATATGGTGAAAGAACGAAGGCATAGCACTGCTTCATGTAATTAGTGCTTCTGAGGATTCTGGACTTGTTTATGTTTTGCTACATGCCTTCATCTAAAGAGACTTGAGATGTGAAACAGTCCCTGGAATGCCAATGCTAGGTTGATGGTCTTGCTGTGAATGCTAAGAAGGTTGTCTCACCGGGTTTTACATCAGGACTTTCTCTGATAGTTTGTAATACTCTCTATGCCTAGTTTTTATGAGATCCGGAACCCCTGAAATTAGTACCAACCTTAAATATGTCAGTTTTTTCTTGGGGTTCTCTGCAGTTTGAGGATTCAGCTCGTTTAGTAACACACCATTATTTTATTTGATTGCTGAATAGCTTCAGGGGTCTTGGTGTTTGTCGATGGGATTTTATGTGGCCTCTTATGTAAATAATTGATAACAAGTCAATAAATTTCCAGGATGTCGTATAGGCTATCTTTCATGCCCTCGCCTGATGAGTTGGCGTTCGTGAAATTGACAGATCGCAAGTCAGTATCAAATGGGAGACAGAGTTGGCTTTATCGAGCCTCGTTCCGGTTACGAACTCTATTTGTTACCACCTGGCAGCGGCACCACCAAACTCCTCAGCGACCATGGGCACTCGTCAACTGAAGCACTTGGGAAGGACGTAGTGTTAGTGGGTGTTATTGTGTGGCGTAGGAGCCACTTGTCGTCTTCTTCTAGGCCTGCTGACCGTAACAATATTGTAAAGAGACATGCGGTTGCATCTTCAACTCATGATTCCGTCTCCAAGAGTAGTCGTGCTGGGGTTGATACATCAAAAGAGCCAAGCAGTGACCCTAGAACAAAGTCGCGTGGCGGGATTAATGTAAGCTCTGCTTTATCATCAATGCATGTCCCTAAATTCCCAGTTGATTCACCTACGAAAGAAGATCCCTCACCTTCACGTGTTAGGAACTGGCCGCCTTCCACTAATACAACCTCTAATACAAATGTGCTGAAGTCTCGCCATATTACTCCTACACCTGCTGATGCAACCACTGATTTGCCCCCGGGTTTCTCTGTCCGGCAGACACCTCTCCCTGAACGTAGCGTTTTTATTGCGTCTAGACCCCACCTGGACCCTAGATTGCCCGCTCATAAAAAGGACCCTAGACCTTCTCAGTCTCCTGTGGACGTTCCTTCAGGATTCTGGCCACGGCCCCCTCAAAATATGCTAGCCCGGCGACCTATCTCTGAAGATGATGATGATGATCTTCCTGAATTCGATTTTAGTGTTCATACTGTTGGGGCTAACAACCCTCCTTCCCCTAGGCAGTTTTCAGGCCCCGGCACATCTCTTAATTCCGAGTCTCCCCATCTCTCTCATTTCCCCCCTCGTCAGAGTCCTGCTATAGTATCCGATCAGAGTGCTCTTCCTCTCAACGCAGAGTGTTTCTCTGGGTACCCCTCTAGGCCTAATGGTCCTCTTCCCCCTCCCCAGGACCCTGCTTCTTTCCTCCCTAGGAACTCTTCTTATTACAGTGCTGTTGGTACTGGAGCTGCCCCCTTATCTGGAGATGGTCATCTTGAGGTTGACTTAAGGCCCTCACCACATGAATTGCTGAGAGTAGCTCCAGGACCTGGCAGTCGAGGACAGCAAGCCATGTTAGGCCAACCAGGGCCTTTGCCACAGCCATCTGTTCAACATTATGGGGCTCCTATCCAAGGGGTTCACGGTGCTCCATTGGCTACTCCCATTCCTAGGAATGATTTATCAGAGTGGCACCCTTCGACGCAGTTCCAGAAACGGCCTTCTGCTCTGTTTGAGAATGATCCTCGTCACGTTGTCGCTGGTCCTGCTGCTCGCCAGCCTCCGCACTTCGACACTGCAACACTTGGTGGTGCTCCCCCTCCACCCTTGGCACAACCTCAGGACTTAAGCTGGCCCCCTCCCCAGCAGCATCATCAACAAGCTCATCAGCAAGCGCCTCCCACGTTATTGCCGCCTCCGCCTATGCCTCTTCCTCAGTACCTGCAACAGCCAGAGCAGTCTCGTGGGTACTTCCAACCTCAACCCCAACCCCAGTGGCAGCAGCAGCACTCCAACCACTTCCAACTTCAACCTCAGCATCAACCTCAGCATATGGCTGTACGGCCCACGGATCCCAGAGGTGCTCCTTTCATCAACAGCTGGGAGTCTCATGCTCCTCCTTGGGACGCAGCAGGAGCAAGGAGCAGCAACAGCAATGTTAGCACTGAGAATCCTAGAGATGATAGGAGTAGTGGTGAACATCGTATGAAGGATTCTCGTTCTACCGATCAGCTCTCGTGGCATGAACGAGAGCGGGATTCCAATGGTGCAAGGCCTGATTATCGGCGAAGGTAGACTGATTATCAATCAATTTAGTGCAGAGCACCGATCAACCCTTCCCTCTTAGTTTGTACAACGTAATTTTGCAAAGCTAGTGGAAACATATCAAATTCTGTTTTCATGATTGGAATCTTTTTTCTTAAGGATTACAGTGCATGCAGACTTCATAAGTTTGGTACAGCAGCTGTTAGCTTGGAAAGTAATATTAGAATCCTCCCATGCAAGTAACCAGAAGAGCACCAGTGTAGTGGTAGCATCCAGGTAGCTGGCGATTGATGTCATACTTTTGAATTTTTGAATCATGCTGGACGTTCTACCACATGAATCTATGAATGTTACAATCAATCAGCATCCTGTACAGAAGAACTTTGAATCAATAAAAATCATGCTATCTGAATTTTCCTGTAAAATGACTAAAATCCTTCCCGAAATTGACTGCAATGGTCACCGACTTGACTGAAGGAGGGGTTCACTCCCATACTGAAGGAAGAGTTTTGGTGCGTGTTCTTATGTACCAGCACTTCAATCGTCACCAAATTAGCATTATCACCCATAAACTGAAATGCATTCACTCTGTAGGAGCTTTGGGCCAATAAACTTGACGATCCAGTTCTTGATGGACGAAGTGTAGATTCCTAGTAAGTCGATTGAAGCAGGAAGCAACAATACTTTCATATCCATGCATTCTCTTGATTACAGGCAATACAATGCTGGGCAGCGCATGAATGATGCGCACTTAGCAAATTATGTGACCATGTGGCTAGCTGCTAAGCACTACAGCCATTTCTTGAATAGCACACATAAAGTGACCGTGCATAGATTCTGCGACCCTACTTTGGGCAAGGAATCTCCCACTGCCTTCCACAATCGGAAGAAAGTTTTGAATACCACTTGCTAGAATTGTGAATTGAGGTTTATAAAAAGGACATCAAAGTGAGCGTAGACTACCATTTTCATCTGTGCCGCGATTAAATTCGGAATGTTCATATTATGATCCACATAACTGTAGATACGAACTGAAGCCTAAAATGGGAAGTGTTGAAGTGCATCCTCGTCTATGACTCAATTCTCATACCAGTTGGTGGTACTAGAAGATCAAGAGTGGAGGATGGAGACATGCCTACGAGGGGATCACTTGGGCTCGGAAGTACTTGGAGTTAGTGAGACGGGATAGTTCTTCACGCAATCGGCCCATGGATTGGCGGAAGCGTCGAATTGATCGTTCCGAAGGGACTTCCAGACGGCGCTATTACATTTCAAGCCGGAGCCAAGCGCAATTTGCCAAATGAGGTCGTTCTTTCGAACCCTATGCTTGGCTTCCATGTAAGCAAGCACGTACCAGATGGAGCTCGACGACGTGTTGCCGAATCTGTGCAGGGTCATCCTCGAGGGTTCCATGTGCTGCTTCGACAGCTGCAGATTCTTCTCGATTCCGTCCAGGACTGCTTTGCCTCCTGGGTGGATGCAGAAGTGGTTGATTGCCTTTTGAAAGTCGGGGACGTAGGGTTTCTGGCTTTTCTTCAAAATCTTGCGGGCGACGAAGTTGGAGGCGAATTTCAACTTCTCGGAGAGAGGAAGGATTTTGGGAGCCAATGTTGTGATATTGGCCTTGAGGGCATTCCCTGCTTCGTGTATGAGCTCCCGGGAGAGGGACACTCCGATGATCCCATCAGCATCTTCCGTATTCTTGACGCACTGAAAACTTTTGTCATCCGCTGCCTTGTGGGTTCTCACCAGTTCCACCAGGCTGTATTTGGCTACCCTTCTGTCACCTGCGGCATCCCACAAATGAATTCATCAGTGATCCCTTCAATTAACTTCATTTTCCATTTCCTATTCTGATAAACTGCCCCAACTTGATTCAATCTTCGCAACAAGAACGGCGAGCTCTACTCGCGAAATCCCTGTCTGAGGCTGAAGAGAAAGCTTGTGGCGACGACTGGGTACTCTGTTGATCTTTGGGAATCACAAATTATTCGGGTTTCTTAATTCAGTTGCAGTAAGATTAGCAGGTGTATGAAAATTAGCAGAAAGTTGAGAAGCAATTGAAGTCAATTATGTCGTAGGTGCAATAGTCCTTGGATGTTCTCATGCAAATTTCTAAATAAGGTGTTAAGATGCTTTTGTAAGGCTATTGGTAGATAGAGACAGAAACCAGCTGCATGACCCAGATGACGATATCTATTTTACACGTTTAGAACTCGAGGCAACGACTGTTTGTGAAGTGCATAGGTCATTGGAATGAAGTTCGAACTGAAAGGGACATTGAAATCGATACTCACCACGCTTATTGGATAGTAGAACGGCTGAGGCGCCCCACCGGAATATGCAGTTGCCGACCATCATAGACCGGTAGTTACCTTTGTACCCCTGCATTCCACTGATCATTTCCGTGCTGAGCACAATAGCGTAAGTATTCTTGTGCACTTTTAATAGATCCTGGGCTAAGCTGACGGCAATGACACCTGCGCTGCACCCCATCCCTCCCAGGTGGTAGGATTCAATACTTTCCCGCATCTTGAAATGGTTCACCACCATAGCCGACATGGATGGAATGGGACAAAATGTGCTGCAGTTCACGACAAGAATGCCAATATCCTGTGCCTTCACACCAGTCCTCTTCAATAAGTCGCCAACGGTCGTGAACAGCGCCATCTCTGCTTCCTTCATAGAAGTGCAGATGGTTAAGTCTGGGGGTTGAGAATGCATGGAAGGCGGAACGTAAGTCTCGGGCCCTAAACCGGAGCTCGCTAAGATCTTCTGCTGAAAATCCATACTCTTCTCGGTGAACAACCCGGACTTAGCAGATAACGCAAGAAATACTTCGTTTGTCATCTTGCACTCATCCGCAGGTTTGAAACATGCGAAATCGACCAGGTATATGGGCGAAGGACCTGAGTTCCAAAACATCCTCCACATAGCTAATAAGAATATTATCGCAGAGGCTATTGCAGCTACCGTAGCTGATAAATATTCCGAAGCGATTGAAGTATATATATTGGCAGTCGCCTTTTGGATCAGACCAATCATCTCGGGGCCGTGCTGCCACAGCAAGCTTGCAGACTGAGCGAAAGCCAGGAGCAGAAGCGGTAGCCCAAGCCCCCCACGATTGACGTTCTGAACGGGAGCGAGCATGCCCTTGAAGCTGACCAGCCTCGGCCCAAATGAGTCTTTCATAGACCTCTGAACAATATTAATAGACTCAATGCTGTCGAATCTCACCATGGCATCAACGTCCAACTTGTCGCCACTGCCACATTTTCCATTGTTGCAATCGACATCCAAGCTCTTCGCACCCATTGCAGGAGCCTAGGGAAGTCCCCGCTCGGACCAGCTTCACCCCTGCAGCTGCTCAGGCGTATGTCCCGCTGTAGCTTAGTTCCGCGAGAGAGTTCACTTGGATGGCTAAGTACGCCACTTCCGACCCCAGCACTTCAATCGGCCGGCTCCGTTCACATTGTTGAGAGTTCGAGAGCGAGTCAGGAACTTGTACCCCAAGGACATAACCACGAGTTCAATCATGTAGTTGTGAGCTGCTCTGAGCACTCGCAGCAGGGTTGAGCATGGTCTACACGTACACTGCACAGGTCTGTCTTTTATCATGGTATCGCCTGGATCATTGCCGAGTGAATCTGACACCACTACCGTTCGTTCCGTCGTTTAATTCTTAGGTGCATTTGTTATGTGTGTCAGAAAGTTTTTACCCCGTTTCAAGAGCAATCAAATCCTCGGAACAATCTTTCATACATTTCGGTCATGTCATAAATTTAACCATTTACCCGCTGATGTGAATTCACATGTGCTAGACGAGCACGGGGTCCAAATGGGATCGACGGATGATCGAAAACCTTGCCGCTGTTGTGAATCGACACAAGACGTCGTATTATTCAGAAGGTGGGTAGGGTGGGGGGGGGGGGGATATGCATATAAATCTCTGAAGACTAAGTTGATGGAAAAGTGGAAATAAAATTACCCCTCGTTACAGCACGTGGGGCCAACGTAGATTTCAGCGCGGAAAGAGTTCCTGCCATGTCATCCATGGTAGTTGCTAGTCAAGGTCTTTTAATTCCCTGAGTTTCGGTCGCAGCATGATTTCGTTTCATTACACTAGATTAATTTGGTTTCAGTATGAGCTTCACTCTACTCTTCGTTTATGCACCATCAGTTTCTTCCATTATATTTCAGTATTATTATAAACTATTTTCGAATATGACACCCATATATTTCCCCTCCCCTACTTTTCTTTTTTGTTCCAGGAAACTGGACATGATAGTGGAAATTTTTAAAAAATGACAATAATTTTTGAAATCTTAAAAGGGTGAGTACCTCGTAGCTGATGCTGCAATTAATTCCCAACAGTTTACTGCCCCACACCTCAGACTGTCAGAGAATCACACCCTCTGCTTACCACAACCCTTAATTATCATATGATGAAGTCCGAGAAACTCTAGCTCAATGGTTTCGATTTGCTAAGCTAATTCGATGAAACGGATGAGCAAGTCATGGGATCGATAACTGATATTGAGAGAGTATCGAATGCATTCAATGCAGAAGTTCATTTATTGATGGTTAAGCCTAGAAGCTCGTCGTGACATCCATCCGATTGACTTTCGATTAAGAGCTACCTGATGACTAAGTTACTCCTTGATATACCTCGTCATGCTGTACCAATATTTAATTAGTCATCTCTAGTCTTCATGTCAACCTAGGGTCCACCCACTTAACAATTAGGCACGTAAGTTTCTGGTGCCCCTATATCTCCATACATGGACGAGGATGACGCGCAATGCCTTTCACCAGGCCATTATCCTTCCTAACTCGACAACAACAGTAATTGCAAGCATAGACAACTGCTGCTCATCGAGATGGGCGTGATTTAGAACTGATCATCCCTAAATGCACTTAGATGTAACCCAGTGCATGCATGCTGGTCGTCTTGAATATGAAATTCGGGCATTGCACAAAACCACTGCTCTCCGGATACTTTAAATTGCGACGGTTGTCGTGTGCAGCACAAACCGATATCCGACCAATCCATTAATTGTTTCCAATGTGTCGGCACAACGCCTAGAGGTTTTGGAACATGCTAGGCACTTCAACCAGCCAGCTCTCATCAGGTTGATGAAATCCAGGAGGAGATGAAGATCTGTGCTGCAGATAGTTTGATACTGGAATGATATCATGGACACTGGATATTTGGTTGTTTTGTATCATGAAACAGCTCATATATCTGTCATTGGACAATTGGGCTTCCACCGTAGATATCTGTACGTTTCGGCGATCGATTTTCCAACAAAGTTTATGTCAGCTTGCATCGGCGTCTTTTGTCAGCTTCGCAATCGACTTTGGTGCAACAAGAAGGATGTCTCTTCCTTTGTTGTTGTTCTTGTCTTCTGCCTGCACAATGAACATAGAAATACGCAAGTACAAACATCGATTGAAATAGAAATTACGTCCAGACTGCACAACAGTCACCGTTGAAGTCATCGATAGCAACCGACCTCAGAGTAAGAGAAGAATTCCCATAGATAAGCCAATGGAAAGTTCTAATTAAGTACATAACAATAATGTAAAAGCATAAATTTGTTGTGAATTTTGATATGAAAACTACTAGTTTCCCAAAGTCTACTAGTTTCCCAAAAACTAGACTGGTGTAAAAAAGAAATTTTTTTTGCTAAGTTTCTGAAAGATTAAATTTGAAGTGAACATTTTGATTATGTCGAATTAAGTATGAAACACTCAAAACCAAGTTTAGTTTTGTGTTTTTTTATTTGGAGGGGGGCAGATTGAATGTGTGTACGAAACTCCCACGTCCATACATTTACCATTCTAATCCTTATTAACAACATATTAATAGAAAAGACACTTTTACACTTAAACATAACTCCAGGATGGAATATGCGATGGCATAAATTCACTCTCACTCACATATATCCAGGCGGATTTTCCAGGTTGCGGAAGTAGAGTTCTTTGACTTTGAGGAGCAAGCCTCATAATTCCGTCGCAGGTCATCCTTTGTTTTCCTCTACCAAAACGATACCTGTTTGTCGTCTTCAAGAAACGATGCAGATTCAAGTTGTAATCCATGCTTTTTTGAATCTAAAGGCAGGAGATCCACATGGGACTCTCGGTGAGGAAGCGTGCGTGTGTGTGTGTGCGCGCAACAGTGCGTTTATGACAAAATCGTATGCAGGCCTCAAACATGAGCACAGCATCGGGTGAATTATGAAGAAGACTGTCACGTAAAGACTATTCAATTCCCACTCAAAACTGTGTCGAAATACGATGGTGATCACAAATTCCGCTGGTACCTGTGAGATACTGATCCATATTTACATCTGGACCTAGAGCTCTTGTCAGGCTGCTGGTTCTGGTTGTAACAGAAGCGATCACTCACATGGGCCTTGGTTAAGCGGCACGTTCTAACGATTATTTATACTTGCTTGTATCAACGAGGGCGTTGTTCATGGATGCTGGGTTGACGCAGATGACTCAAGAGTTGTCGCATTGTCGTCGAACAATTTGGGTTGAGAATCTGAAACCAGCACCAAGCATTGAAGACTCCCAACAAACAGTGCAGCTCCGGCAGAGCATTTCATTCGATGATCTCAGCCACCATGACGGTAGCCTCGCATCCTCCTGCTGAAATCTCCCCAGTATGTTATCGTTCATGGTGGTGAATTTGATTTGTTTTTCCGGCTTGACGCTAGTATTTGTACAAACGGGGTGGCGAACTCGGACACAGTGCTGCTGAGAGGGAGGGTGGGTAGGTGGGAGAGACTCCGGAGTTGGGCACTGCAGCAGCTCCCACCACACTTGGGTCAAGCAGCCAGCGTTGGTTTCTCTCTCTTTCCTTTTGTCTGTTCGGGGATGGAAGAAAGAGCTCGTGAGTTGGTGATCCACCACCCATCACCCCCCATTTCTATTTATCTATTTATTTCTTCTTCCTCCTCCTCCTCTTACCGTTTCCTTCCGCCTTTCAATCCACCATCCTCTGCTTTAGGCTCCACAATTCTGTAGCAGCATGAGTTTATCATTGAGAGTGGCTTTTATGAGCTTCCAGAGGGCAGGTGAGCAAAGCATTCAACACCATGCAATCAGCCTCCTGCTTCATTGTTCGTATGCATCATTACCTATGTATGAAATAAACAAAAACAAAAAAACTAGTATGAACTTTTGTATGAACTAGTATAAACTTAACTTTGGCATGTTAGATTGGATTTTTTGTTTTGTTTTGTTTTGTTTTTTTTTTTTTTTTCAGTTTATAAAATAGAGAAGTTAGGTTTGTTTGTTTGTGTCTGTGTTTGTTTGAATAATTGATTCTTTGTTAATTCTAATCAATGGAATTATGCATCGCCATCAAAAAAGGGGAATTGTAAACAGGACATAGTGATGGCATGTGAACTGCAGCCATCCTGTATGAGGTGATGGTGTGAATCCTTGTGTGTGTGTGGAATTAAAGAGTTAGACAACTGAGTGAGTGCAATCCATAGCTGAGCTGGATGGGGTATGGATGGACATCCTGGCGAGAGGTGGAAACGAGGCTCTGCACGTGGAGTGGGCCTTAATGGAAGTAGCATGCATTCATCGAGCCTCACATCACATTCATGCTAACAACCTTATCACACTTTCTTAAATCAAGTTGTGAGAGTTGTAGAAAGAAAAAAGAAAAAAGAAATGAAAAAGAAATAAGAATAGGAAATACAGACTGGAGGAAGTGTATCTTCGACAGAACCCTTTCCACATCTCATTTCCACCTTGTGCTCTTTTCTACTGTAAAGTATGAGAAAAGAGCATTTCGCCCATTTTCTCAAAATAGAATTAATAAAATAAAACAAAATAACCACAAGTGTCACCTTTAACTTAAAACTTTTTATTTTACTCTTATTTTCGAATCAACATTTTGGCTTCACTTTAAATATAATAAAATTTAATGGAAAACTAGAAAATTTCTTTGGATTGCATTGTGTGCTAAAATCATAAATGAATATGCTAAAAATTCATATTTATTTACTTATTTTAAAATTTAAATATTCTTGATTTTGATAGTTTCAACACACATGTTGGATACTCGTTTTTAGAAATATATTTAAGATGTTCAAATTTGTGAAATAGTATTTTATTTTCCTTAATTAATTAATTATCTAAATTTCTTATTATTTTATTATTTATTCTACATTACTATTTTTATTATAATTGTGATTACTCGTTTTACTTATGCCAAATTAATCTAATGGGAATAAACCCATATAGGGGGATTTGAACATGAGGAATGACTAGTTGCTTAAGCGTTCACATTAGGGTCACACAATCAATTACTTCTTGAATGTATCATCTCTATTTCTAATATTTGAACACACAAGGAAACTATAATCTCTTCCTTCACCTTATCGGTCTCTTCCTTATAGCAATTCAATCATACCAATAATTGCTATTTCCACCAATATATTCACCCTCATAATCTCCAATTGTAATACTATGCCCTCACACCTTTCAGCACACAATTACCCTCATTCCAATAACTAGAATTCTTCACACAGAATTGCCATTCACATTACGGTGT